CAGGGAGGGCAGCAGTGCCCTCTCAGTCCTGGGCCCACCGGTATGGAGGATGTGACTCCATGGAGGGCAGCAGTGCCGTCTCAGTCCTGGGCTCGGTGCTCCGTTGGCTGCAGGGCATGGTTCCTTTGATGAACAAACACGTGGCTGTCCTTTCTGTGTTTTTACATTCACGATGTTCACCAGGTGGGAGGTTCAACAAGCTAAATGGCCTCATTTCTTGTTCAAAACCAGCTCCAGGTGATGTAGTGCTTTTCTAATTGACAGCACATTTAATCAATATATTTTATTTTTCTTAAAGTGGTGCTGTAATAATAAGCTAAATTGTTCTTTTGGTGCTCCTTAGATGTCACCACAGAGCACTGTATTCTCTGAAATTTTAAATGATGCAAAATTGAAATTGCATACATCAGGAAAGACCTCTTCAACAACATCACATGCAAACTGCACACTGTGCACCAGAATGGTACAAAAATGCAATGTGATGTTCTTCGACTTGCAAAATGTTGTAATTAAGATAACGGTGTAAAATGATTATTTATTCAAAACAACACATAAGCCAGTATAATATTAACCCTGCTGGGTATTTTGCAAGACTTGAACATTATGCAATATATTTCATTTTTGGTTTCCTAAGATCTGTCATGATGTGTAAAATGTTGTTTCTTGGGATAATAATGTGTATTTTGGGTTTTAGGTTAACATTGCTGTTGATGGCATTTTTCTTGAGTGGTGCAGAATGATGAGCAAAACTGCAAAGAAGCCAGTATTTGTAAAAGCTTTATGCTAGGATAGATTTATGATATTTACTGTAGCATCTCACTTTCATGAGGGTTTCATGACTCTCAGGGCATTTATTTATATAGCCACTCAACCACTTGAAGGAAATGCATCATTACCTTCAGAACAATAGGCATGCCGGTTGAATTCCCAGATGCAGTGGCCTGAAGTGATATTTTTACATAGGCATTCAAGAATAAATAATATTTCTATTGTTTCTTTTAAATGTAATTATGTAATGCTTCTAAATGAATAAAGTAAAATTTGAGTACTTGGTAAACCTCTTGTGTTTCTTTGAAGTATGATGGTTAGTATCGTAAATGTCAAAGAATCTGCAGCGTATGTAGTGTCTTGTGGAAGCAGCTCATGTGTTCCCCTGGACATTAAATGAGATTTTTTTGCTTAATTTTTTCTCACTTTTGAAGATGTGTAATTTTACACATGTCCCTTCTACATTTAGGTCCTGGCAGCTAGCTTGTCCCCATTTGTCTTTGACATTGTTGTCAACATACCAACAGTCTGTTGGTGAGTATATTTTGTTTCATCTTTATTTGTCTTCTCAGCAAGTCCGTGTTTAATGCTGCATTTGCGTCTCTTGGCTTTCGTTCATAGTCCAAAGAAAAACACTTCACACCCGGTATTCCAGTTCACAGTTTGTCAGCACTTCTGTAATAAAATTTAGCAAAGTGTTTACAGAGATGATCTAATGTTGCCAAATAGGTATGCCCACATCATAAATAAGCACTTTCACAAGAGAATGTGTGCGGTGTGCTGCTGAGAAACACTGACGATGTATGAAGACAGGCTGAGGTGTACTGTATATACAGTAGCTCTGCAAGCTTTTTTTTTCAAGGCAGGATAGCTTTTCTGAATTTCATTTTCACATCTGCTCTGCCTCTCACATACACACCAGAATCAGGAACTCTCCACTAGTCCAGTCTTCAAGCTAGTTTTTCACATGGCAAATATGTATTTTGTATCTCAAGGAGATACTGAAACTACAGTCTGTTTCCACACAACCTTGCATATTTAATGAAAGGGGCACAGGCAGCTGATACATCGTTTATTTGGTACTAGGTGTAATGAGGCTAGGGCTTCAAAGTGTCTCCCCCCGGTAATGGTGCTCACGTGGGGAGTGGGGCGAGCCCTGTGTTCTAGGCGTTGGTGGTTCAGGTCTGCGTTACGTGCATGGGATTGACTGAGCAGCACCCTAGGTCAGCATCTCCGGGTTTGGGTCACCAGGCTTTTCAGTCGCCCAGTAGCCCTTGGACTTGGTGAAGGGCCCATGGCCCTGCCGTGTGGTGTGCAACACAACCGCGTCGCTTTTCTAGCTGGTCCTGCCTTCCCTGTGTAAGTGCTCACAGTGGGATGCACGGCTTAGAAAAACGTGCGCAGACGCAGACATCGCCCCCTGGTGCTGGGGAGGCCTTTATAGCCTTGAGCCAAGCTCAAGGTGGCTCTAGATTGGAAGGAAAGGGAAAAACAACTCGATATTGTAAAGAAATAATTAGTCATTTCTGACATTTGTTATAATTGACAAATTATGACACCATGAGACCTTGAAATTGTCCATGGCTTTTTCTTTGAAACAAAGGTATGTAGGAACCTTCAGTCTAGATGGAGTGCCACAAGATTTTGTTTTAGAAGGGAAACATCCAGGAAACAATGGCTTGACCTCCGCTACACTGTTTTGACCTCCTTACTGCCAGTGTTCAGGTGAGATTGTTTTGCTGGAGAGAGAATTCACCTCCAGGTCTGACGGGGGTGAGGGGGGAAAGCTGACCCCAGTTAAATTCTTGAACAACATCCGTCACTGAAGCCCCTTCTGGAGAGGAGGTGTTTACCTTGTTCAGAGCTAGAACGTAAGGGGGTTAAGATTAAATGTGCCTGCATTATTTTTTGTGTGTTAAAGTGCTGGTCAGGTGCCACCATGAGCCTGCTTTAAGAGTAAGACAGAGAATGTTTGCCACTTCCTTGGGTAAACGTTTCCTGTTGCCCTTTCAGAGGCTCAGAGTGTTTCACATTTGCTCAGCTGGCGGACAGAAATTTAAGTTCTTTTCAGAAGATGATATTTTTACTACAAACCAGCTGTGTACTGGATGGCCGGAGCTGGCTTCTGCCCACAGAGAAGAGTGTGCCCTGGACCTAACCGATGAGCTCACGTGATGGGTAATGTGAGCCATGTGTGTCAGCCAGACTTCCCACAAACTAGCAAGGGAGGATCAGCCTCAATTCATGTTTCTCATGACTGTAGCCAGTATTTGCAAGCAAGGACCTGCTAGGACAGGATGGTGAACGTCCCAGAGGAAGACTTTATACTTCTTTTTAAAATGATTTCTCTTTCATCAGAACATGGGAGCTGGCCTTTATTGGACTCAAATTCATCACCCACAAAGTTGTTTTAGTATGGTTAATTGATCAATATTTATTGCATTTTAGGGGTGTTTTTTAAGGTATTGTGAACATTAAAATAGATTTAAACTATTTTGAAAATGTGATTATCCAATCAATAGGGTTATTTTAGAACCAGTGTTGTGACGATATTTAATTTGTGTAGTGGCAGACAGGTAATACTTCATTTATTGCCTTGCAAAGGTGGATTTTCATGGAATTAGCCTCCTGCTGCCCATGTCACAGTTAATTGCAAGAAAAGGTCAGCCTAGCTTCTTTGTCTTCTCTCATTGGCTCAGCAAAATCCTGCATTTTCATGACATGTGACTTGGGTTCTGTGAATTGCAGAGAAAATGCACAAAGGTGATAAATAACAACGAACCCTGATCAGCGTTGTGGATTAGGGGCTTCCCTTTATTTTCTGCTCTTATCTGACAGCACATATGTTGCCACTTCCTGTGTGTGTGCCTGTCCTTGACTCAGCAGGGCAGACCTTCTGTGAAGCCACAAATAAGTACAGGTAGTGACTGCCTGAAGAGCCTGTTTTCACAAGAGGATCACAAGCAGTATCTTTAATTTGTAAGCAGTCCACAGGCAGAACTCAGGGATGTCTACATACCTAGCTATAAGATATTATTATCAATTGCTTACACTTATATAGTGCTTTTCTGGACACTCAAAGCGCTTTACAGGTAATGTGGGCTCCCCTCCACCACCACCAGTGTGCAGCCCCACCTGGATGATGTGATGGCAGCCATAGTGTACCAGTACAGTCACCACACACCAGCTCTCAGTGGGGAGGAGAGCAGAGTGATGAAGCCAGTTCAGAGATGGGGATTATTAGGAGGCCATGATTGGTAAGAGCCAATGGGAAATCTGGCCAGGACACCGGGGTTGCACCCCTACTCTTTTAATGATCACAGAGAGTCAGGACCTCGGTTTTACGTCTCATCCGAAGGACGGCGCCTGTTTACAGTATAGTGTCCCCGTCACTATACTGGGGCATTAGGAGCCACACAGACCGCAGGGTGTTAATCCTCAGCCAGTGCTGTGGACTGGAATTAATACAAATTAAAAATTAAAAAAATGAAAAAAGTGTTAGGGTAGTACAGGGGGCAGACATCATTCCCCTTCTTTTTGGGAGGGTTCATATTAAGCTCAAGTAGCAAGGGAAAGGAGTTAATTATAGCCTCAACCACTGGAGAACAACATAGCTGGAATTTGTTTAAATTTGTTGCAATGCAGCATTTGTGCTTGGCAGAAGACCAGGAGTGACGGACGTTGCCAAGGCCTTCATGTGAACTTTGAGGTATCAGGTGAAAAAAGGGCCTTTTGGATTCTGATTCGATCATTGCGGCCCTCCACTTCTCATGCAGTCAGGGCTGAATTCGCCAGAACCAGCCAACAATGAAAGGGAAAGTCTTATCAGTAATACTGTCTATATTGCTCTCTTTGTTTCCTCACTGTCTAGTTTTTCAAGGGCAGTAGCGCAAACCGTTAAAAAGCAGTTTTGAAACAAATGCAAAGCAAACAACTAAGTCTGCTTATGTAAGTGTCCTGCTAGCTCAGTGTGAATAAGAACCAGCTGTAGATCAAAATATTTAAAAGGTACTGTGCTGTGGAAAGAGGATTCCGAGAAAAGAATAATTATTGATGAGTGCAAAACTGGACGTGTTCCGGTCCTTTGCAAACGGCCCTGGTGAATCTTGTTCCACCCATCCCTCTTCTAACGGCTTCATCCAGTTCGGGGTCTCGGGGAGCTGGAGTCTGGCCTAGTAGGTGCAGTACACCCTGGACTCCAGTCTATCACAGGGCACACGCTTGCAGTTTTCCCAGCAGCCATGAACCCACCGCTGTGGGAGGAAACCCACATGAACACAGGGAGAACATACAAACTCCACGCAGACAGCACCCACTGAGGCCTGTTTCAGTAGATCTGATATTAAAATTCCAGTCTAGTAGCATGTTATTAATTCCCACATAATTCATCTCGGCACATCTACCAGCACCTCCTCGGAGACTGCAGTTTCATTTGGACGTTTATGCACGGCTCATTGGTATTCTGTCGGCTCTCACCGTTATGTATCTTATTACTGGTGTGTGTCTAGAATGGTATGTGAAGATGTATTGAGAAGATGCCATCTGTTATTGGCTTTATGTTGTATTTGCTGTATTGTATTCTAATATGAGTATGAGCTCACCAAACCACATTCCATGCATCTAGGTGCCATAGCAATAAAGTATTGAGCTGTAATGTCTTAAGTGACATTGAGAATACTGTTCATGTGAGCTATTTAGTGCAATTACGTTTTACATACTGTATAGCATGTTTTGCAAGATAAAGTCTAGTTGACAGAATATTGAGCTTTTTAATGTTCCTGTTATCTCATTTCTGTTAGTTACTTTAGTACAAAAAAGTTGTTTTAAAACTTTACTACAAATATTGTTAGTTTGCAGAAGAATAGTTATGTATTTTAAAATACTTTGCATTTGGAATATGTCTAACTAATATTTTCAGAAGGATTTTTAGGAGTTCCAAAAACAAAAAGATTTAGCTTTTGTCCTCCTAACTGCTGACATTCCATGACAATCAAAAATATCTTATCATTGTAGGATGGCCGTATTGTCACAAGGTTTTCAATCTCGTTTTGAAAAAGCACCACTATTTAGAGTTGGAGAACTTCAATAGTACACAGTCAACCATTCTGACAGATCACTTAGTGGCAGACACTTTGAATCACCTGTGTATAAATGTGATAAATGTGATAATCTTCTACACATGTGTAATGGCTTCCTTTTTTAAAGAGATTTATTTTTTCTCTTTTTTTGTTTCATGATTAAGGGAGGATTATACATTATAAAAAAAAGTTTGCTAAAAGCTGAAGATTGATCAGTGAACCAGCTGCAGGCTTGGAGGGATCGAGCTCCGGGCAGATCAGCCCTGTGAGAATTAAAACATTTTTGAATGATATGTTCCACTTGCTCTCCATATAAATATGAAGTGGCTTTGCCATTTTGCAGTGACCTCCTGATCAAGGCTATACCCTTGGATAACTCCAAGTGATCCTTTTAAGCTGATTTTTGTTTCATTCGAATAACTGCCAGATTGGTCAAAATCCAGGCCTTGTAGTTCTCCGGGTGCAAAGATGGATATGTGGTCAGAAATGTACCACGCTTCAGTAAAAAAAAAATGAGATGCCAAAACATTTTTTGTATGTAGCTTTTTGTTTTTTATTGAACATTACAGTCGTACCAGGAGTTATCATCTTTTTTCTGCTAAAGCTATTTTGTCAAGTTCCTTAGAATTTCAAGGAGCCATGTTGTCCTTACTTTCTACAGGCGTGCTCCTGTATGCATGTACCAGTGTTTTCACAGTAACTTTCTGTGACCATCAGGACGACGCCCGCGTCCCTCATTCTGCTGTGGAATTGAACACATGTGCGTGAGACATTTCAGAGCTGCAGCGGGACACCGTAGGAGGAATATTTGGATTGTATGAAAGGCTTATCCCTCTCTGGTGTAGCAATTCAGGTTGTGTTTTCTCTACTTTTTCTGTTAGGCAGGGGCAAATTGAGATTGTAGTTGGTGGCCGTCGGCACCAGAGTAGCTGAGTGGTGCTGCTATCGGGGGCGTGTACTTCGGTTTTATTCAGGTCAGGGCACTGTGGGGAACAGTAATCTTATTACTGCGACAGCAGGACCGGTCTGGAATCGGGCCGCTGTCCCGTAGAGGTGTACTGAAGTGGGGGATTGGTGTTCCAGGCAGGCTACTGGGCCCCCTGTGGTGCTGGTCAGCTGACTGTAGACAGAATCGCATTCCACGGGCAGGACCAGTCGGGTCAGACACCAGAAATGTGCTTGGTAGAGCCTGACCTTGCCACTCAGCTCCAGGAGGGGCCGGACTGAAAACATATTGCTCTTCCATGCTTTTTGAGATGGACAATACAAAGTACACAGTGTCCCTGAAACTGGGGACCATATAAGGCATATGTGGTCCTTCCTGAGTGACCTAGACTGACTTTTCAGAAAGCAACTGCTCTAGTGTCCTGCTTTCATGCGCACTAGACGCTCTTGCATTTAGTAGCTTTTCTTTATATACAGCGGTCAGCGTTACTACCCTATAGCACTGGGGCCCGGGTTCAGTTGTAGACCTGGGGTTCTCCCTGTGTTTGTGTGGGTTTCCTCTGGGAGCTCTGGCTTCCTCCCACAGTCCAAAGACTGCTGGTGGGTTAATTGGCTTCAGTGAGAATTGGCCCTGGTGTGAGTGTGTGTCTGTGTGCGCCTGGTGATGGACTCGAGTCCTGTCCAGGATGTATCCTGCCTTGTGCCCAGCGCTTGTTCCAGCTCTCCTGCAACTCTGAATTGCAGAAGTGGTTAGAAAATGGATAGATAGGTGGCACCTGGCCATTTGAGGAACACCAGTCACATTCAGCTAGTGACATAATACAGATTTAAGCTTCACCAGTTTTATAGTGACAGTCTGTTCTGAATGGACAGAGTTATTAACTGAAAATCTATATTTTGTTTCCAGATTAGAATATACAGCTTTGAATTTGGCACACCTGTTGGAATTTGTGCACCGTGTTTGAGATTCAGAGTTTTCCTGGTTAGAGACAACATTCCCTTGGGCTCCTGAGATCAGGGTATTAACAAGGTCTGGTCTGACCTGAGATTTCTCAGTGTTGTGTTATTCTTAGTCTTTTGTATTGAAAGCAACCGCCTGCATCTCTCAGTTCTCCCAGACACATCGTTGGTGACGTGACCTGGGGTTGGCGGGCGTTTCAGGTCCTTCAACACCAGACACTCTTGTACAGCTGAGCCATGAGATGTTCCGATTGTTCCTTCCATGATTATCTGTGTGTTTTTTTTAATGTAAGGGGCCATCTGCCCCTTCAGCATCCAACCGCTCCGTCTGATACAGGTTTGTGGTGAACCTAGCCCAGCAGACAGGGGTGGGAACAGCCATCTCTCACAGGGCACACCTCCACACCCACCAGTACTGTACATGCACATGGGAGACAGTTTAGAGCTGCCAGATGACCTAAATAGCAGCTCTTTGGTCTGTGGAAGGAAACAGGAGCAGTCAGACAAAGAGAGAAAAGTCCATTAACAGGCAGATCCCGCACAGCAGGCACGCCAAGCTAAAATGGAGCTCAGGCCCTGAAAGAGCGAGCAACACCAACCAACACATGTTGTGCTCCATGTATTACAGTACATACACACGAGTGTTTTCAATTACTCACCTCATAGGCGAGTGGTATGAGATGCAGTATAAGGCATAATAGCATGGTCTGCCCGGTGCAAGGAAAACAAAATGGTGGGCCGGCAGTAATGAGTCCGAGAGCATGCAGCGGGAGGCGTCCAGGTGCACCGTGCTGGGGACACGGGTGAGAGTCTGGAGGATGGATTGTAGGCTCCCCAGCGGAGGGGAACCTGACCTGAGAATCAGTGAGAGCTGGGAAGAATAAGAGAACTCTAAGATGGAAGACTAAGAGGTAAGAGGAGAAGGAGAGAGATCAGGGGTCCCATCAGGGGGAGATCATAGGAAAAGAGTCACAGAGGAAACTTGAAGGAGAATCTAGAGAACCAGGTAAAGCGCAGTACCTCAAAAGGCCAGGCGGAGACAGATCAGAGGATATGATCTTTTCTCACGGTAATTTGGCTGTGTATTTTTGGTAGCCAGCCACAAAAATCTCTTATTAACTTGCCTTTTTGTGTTTTAGTTTCATAATGAAAGTTCTATTCTATTTCTGAATTTCTAGTTCTTTGCAATATTTTATTTGAACAGTATTTCTTAATGTAATCTTTTCTAATGAGATTAATTTTAAAAGTCTGTTTACCCTGATAAGGGTGTGTGGAATTTGCCCAGTGAGCTGCAGGCTTTCTCCCATTAATGATGAGAATTACTGTTTCATAAACGGAACTAAGCTGCTTCATTAATGCAGCTTCTTTTACCGCGAACAGGAAATGGCTCAGGGCCAAATCTTAGACACAAAATTAGTCCCTCTGATTTAGTAAGGATTTGGGAACTAATTGGTTATTATACAAGGTTTACAAACTTTTGGTGTAAGCTTTGGAGAGATAAATCTCAATGTTCATTTTGAGAAGCTCTTCAGCTGTGACCCGCCTGTTACTGGCAAATTATATGCCAGTATTAAAACCAAAAGTGAACATGTAAACAGGATATTTCTTGTTAACAAACTACAGTGCTACTCAAAGTGTTTTTGGATCGATTACTTGTTTAAGTGCATACAGAGTGCATGTTTTGTGCTGCAGAGTGCTGACTGGGTTTGCATACACAATAGCACGTATATAATGACTTTTTACATGGTTTTTACTTCTGCAGAAGTGATCACTCCCTCACTTGTTTAGTAGGCCGACAGTACATTTTAAAGTCACGCTCTGTTGTTAAATGTCTTATTTTCAGCAGCCCATAGCATTACGAATACTACTTCAATCAGACAAAATGTTTTGTCCACCTTTGGAAACGTAAAGGCACTCGTTTCAGGGCAGGCTGAGCTCTGTGATCGAGGCATCGTGGGTTTGAGCCTGGGTCATGTCACTAGCCAACTACGACGAAGGTTCTCCAGGTGGAGAAGCCCGTTTGGTTGAGTGCTTCCTTGGGCAGGGTGGAGAGAGTTCTCAGCAGCATGGCACCCCCTGTGGCTGAATGGGCACTTGCAGGCTGCGACATGTTTCAAGATGGCTGTCGCTGGCGGGTGTGTATGTGTGCGCCTGCTCGTTTTGTCTCGCGCGCGGTGGTGGGATTTGCAGAGCACAGCCTGGTAGGGATGAACACACAGCTGGCTGTTCCAGAAGGAGTAGGCATGACAGAAGTCATTGGCAATTTCTAAATTCAAACAATGAGAAAAAAATGTTTTGTCCCCTTGTTTGGAATTTGTGTCAAAGTTTAATTGGACCTGGACTTTTTTCTTCCAGTTGTCCACAGAACATAAAAAAAAAATAAATAGAAATATAGAGTTCATCGTACTGGAATGTCTGGAGTGTTCAATTAGAAAAATAATCCTGTATTTCTTGTGCAAACACATTTATTGCTAGGGTCACCCAAATACGCTCAAATACAGGCGAAGGGTACTGTCGGTGAGAGCTGGGAAGGATAAAAGAACACAGGCAGAATACTTAGAGGGGAAAAGGAGAAGGAGGGGTCCCCTCACTTGATGTTGGGGGGACACCTGCAGGGGGGGAGAAGAGAGAAAAAGAGAGAGAGCCATTGTGGAAACTTGGTGGAGAACCAGACAAAGGCGGAGACAGAGCAGAGAATGATATGATCTTTTCTCACAGTAATCTGGCTGGCTGTTTTTCTAATGGCTACCAGCCGGCCCTCTCCCTGTTTCCATGTTTACTTGTGTCTGACCATATTCCACTTCATGTTTTGCTCAGCTTCCTGCTAAGTGGCCTTGGTGAAGCCCTGCTTGTGTATTCAGAGCGCAGCGCCTCCATGAGATGACGGCGAGACGGGGCAGGACGAAGTCCACCAGGAGGCTTTCTGCCAGGCTGTCCTGAAGCAGTTCGTCCTGTGAAGGGGATACTGATTCAAGGCAGGAAGGACTGTTGTGGGCTGGATCTCTTCTTTCCGTTCTGAATCTCCGTGAAGGAAAAAGAGACACAGTGAATATAAGAAATGTAATTTATACATTCAAAAGATAACTTATAAGACTGTTTATAGTGTAATTCTGCTTAGACGCGTTATCTTTCAACCAATCGCTATTTAATCCGTTTTATATTTTTTGTTAAAGATGAACTCAGACAGGACAGGAAGTCCAACCTTGGATAGGAAGTGGATGTCTTGTAACTCTCTCACAGAGGCATAGCTGATCCTGGGTAGCTGCCATGGGTCTGAGCCATCACAGCATCAATACAGTGATCTGGCCAAGATCTTCTGGGGCACACTTCAGGAGGTATACATACAGCTGTGTGGCGAAATAAAGCGTCTGTTAAGCCCAGACAGACACCAGATAAGTCAGTCTTGTGCCTGATCCCGGGATGAGACTGAGGTGGCTGGCAGGGGAGCTTGATTGGCGGCCCTTTTCAAGGCGAGTTTTTCAAAGCCAAGAGCTGTGCTATGAGACAAAAATAGCATCTGATCGACCTTTTATTCATCACCTTCCATTGAGTTGTAAGGGAGTGTTGTATCCCAGTTCACTGCCTGCGAGCAAGCCATGCGGCGTGCTCAGGGGAGAGAGGAGAAGAGGGTACGAGGGAGAGTGGCCAGACTCCTTGTCCTGTCGCCTCTCGCACAGCGCAGGCTGCCCCCCAGCGTGGAGTCTGGCCACAGGAAGCTTTGCGCTGCTCTCACCCCCAGGACTGGTGGGGAAGGACTCGGGTTTCCACAAACAATAGCTGCGGGCCGGGAGGAAGAAGCCTGCCAGCCACTCGCCCGTCAGTGGAGCAGGAAGCCTGTTGCAGACCAGACTGCTGTGTTCCTACGGCTCCTGCCAGCCTGTCTGGACAGCTGAGGGTGGGTCTGTTCCCAGGCTGAGGGGCTTCAGATGCCCTAGAATCCTAGGCGGACATCCTTCACCGTGCTGAGTGCCTCACTGCCTGTCACCCTTCATTATTTATTGCTGTTCCTTTCTTCCCTTGGTGTATGCGGGACAGGTTTAGATACTCAGTTTCATACCATATCCTTACAATTTAATCTCAAATGAAGCACTTTATCCTCTCACACACACATTGAAAGGAAACTGTAACGTTTCCATTCAATCCACAGCACAAAAAACAGTGCTCCGGTAAGTAACCAAAAACAGAGTGGGTATTGATTAAGCTGACCTTAGGAAGTGTTTTCTATAACCCATGCTTACTGTAATTGAGTCACAACCAATACTGTATCTGGGGGATTTATCTTTAAACCCCTTTCACATTGGAGTTAAAAACTCATTATATCAGGCTTCAAATATCCATTGATATGGAGGTAATATACATGAGACTTTTTGTAGAAGGTTAAGAGCAGATAAGTGAGTCTGCTTGGTTCAACCTTGTATCAAACAGTGTATCTGTGATCTTTCTCTTGATAATATCCAGAGTGAAAGGGGCTAGTTGAATTGGGACATTGGAGTGCTCCCAGCTTTTTCTTAACCAAATAAAATTAAGTGTCAGTATCTCAGTCTTTGGGTTCTGGATTTTTATATACTGTAGCTTCCTAATCAGGGACCAACTTAACTGTGAATGTGGCACAACGGTTTTTTACATAGGCTGCAAAGGTCTGTTCTACATTTCTCTTTGTATTAATTCAGTAGGAAATCTGACTGTGCTGTAAATTTTAAAACATTCGATTTTAAGGTGGGAGTGGGGGAAACTGAGCTATAAAATGAATTACCTGAAATTCCTGTCTCAAAATGGCATTGTATGTAGTACAAAGCAAAATAAAATATTTCTACCTTTCTATTAAAATGTCTCATCTTTGCATTGCTTTCTTTTGAATTTGTAGTATTTTTTCATATCATTCATTTTCTTCTGCAGCCTTGGCCTGTGTGCCTCAGCTCTCGCAGTGTACAATGACGCTTTTGTTTTGACACGGCCTTCCCAAGACCGTTCCCCTTGACTGCATCAGGATACAAGTCTCTTGTCACAGTTGCCGTTTGGGGTTCTTTTTTGGACTGTGTGCTGGTTTAAGTGCTCCAAGGTGTGTCTGTGACCACGGATTACATCTGGCGTTTATCTGCATGGCCCTTATGGACTTTAATGTTGGTGAAGAGGTGGCTCTGTTTGAATTTTGCCATCACACTACTAATGTTTGCGGTTTGTAGTTCATGAGTCACCTTCCTATTCTGTTTCCTATCCACTGTCTTATTGCTGATAGCAAATCGGGGAGAAAAGAAAGTGAAAGTTTGGCACCGCAAATTTGAACAGAGCCTTTTTTTCCATTACTGTGATTTTTGACTCCCAGGTGAAGTGACCTTTATAAACTAATAACTATCCTATTTTACTGTGGGATTTTTTCATGACCTCTGCCACCGTTTTTTTTTTTTTTTTTTTAGGGTTCATCATAAGCCTTCAGGCATGTTTTATTATAACCAAATACACAGTTCCCACTTGTGTTATATCAGCATTGGATGTGGGGAAAAACATTATGTATTCTCCATGGTCTCTTTTAGAAATTATCCATTGCATGTACTAGTGATGTTGAGGTATAGATGTGAATGGTATTTCACCCATTCATCCACTTTCTAATCCTCTTATCCAGGATCCTCTTATCCATGGTCGCAGGGGGAGCTGGACCGTATGCTGGTAAACAACAGGCTCAAGGCAGGACACACTCGGGACAGGACGCCAGTCAATTGCAAGGTCACACCAGGGTCCACTTTTCTACAGAAGCCAGTTAACCCACCAGCATGTCTCTGGACGGTGGGAGGAAACCAGAGCACCTGGTGGAAAACCATGCAAACAAGGAGAGAATATATATATTCACCATGCAGATAGCACCCGCATTAACCAATGTGTCACTAAACCACCCATGGCATTTCATATTTAGTATAAGTCCACAAAACAAAGTTAAAAAACAAAAAGCGTTATTTCCTGTGAAGTACAGATATTGTGGGAGTCGTGCATTGGCCTTGTACCTGAGGCCAGGGCAGGAGAGAGGTAGCCAACACACGGGTTTTCTTTAATCATCAACAGTTAAAAGGTTTCTCAAGGACGGGAATAGGAACAGAGTCCAGAACTGTAGGAAAATTCCTCGAGTCAGTGGTGAAATTCTTACCTCATCTAAAATGTTCAGGTCATTAGCAATGTACATTAAAGGTGTAATGCTTGTCTTTATCATCAACAGTCTCTTTGACCCCCAATGATGACAGAGTCTCCTGCTCACTTGTACCGTCCCTCTTCGTGCTCAGAGGTGAAGCACTATTTTCACTGATGAGAAGAAGATTTTAGGACTTGGGTGGTGATGAAGTGAACAAATCCACTGGATGAAACCTTAGTGGGATTGGTAGTCTTTATTGATTTTTTATACTTTCTTTTTGTTTAAAAGTTGTATTTACAGAAGGTTATGGAATATACTGGAATCACTGCTAGGCTCAGCAGTACAGCAGGTCTTATAGGCACATGTACGTCCTCCAGAATTATGAAGGCAATGGAAGCTGATGCACTGACGTAATTAAGAGTTCGGGTTACAGAAAAGCATAAGCTCCTGTGCAACTCTAGAAGCAGGGTGGAATATCACTGAAGTAAATGAAGTCACTGTAGCAGCTTTACTTGTCTCTGATACAGCCCGCATACACGCGCTTTCAACCAACTTGGACTTCAGTACCCAACAGATACAGGCTGTTCTTCAATCGGTTAGCTCACGCCGTTTTTCACTTCCCCTACAATTACCATCCAGACCACTAAATTCATCAATACTAAAGTACACAATGACCTTAGTGAATTCCTGGTGAAGACGGGTCCAGTGTCTATTCCAAAATAGACATTCAGGGTAGAATGAGAGGATAAGATGACTGGCCGTATACAAAGCAGGATCACATATACAGTGCAACCATCTCCACTGTCTGATTCTACATAATACATGTCCTGAGACTGAATCACAGATCGATTGAATGACAGATTGCATTCATGAATAAATAGCTACACAATAAACATTAGACCAAACATCTATTTGGCGATATCTGAGCTAGTGTTGCCCACTTCCTTGTTTGCAAACTATTATAATATGGAGAAACCCTGAGTCAGGTAAGGGAAAAGTGCCACTTCAGCCCAATGCTCATTTCAAAGGAACAAGTTGCCAGCTGATCCCAAGCTGACAAATGAGGCACAGGTTTTCAATGAACAGAGTGAATGCATGACCGGACCCAGTGTTTGATGAATGCATCCCATTGTGCTAGATTGTAGGGGATTTAAAAGGCCTCACGACAGCTAAGTCTCTTGTCAACATTTGTGCTTTGGCCATTGCATAGAACTAGCCTACTGATGACTGCTCTTGATATTGGACTCATAAGAAACCAGTAGTGTGTTTTGCCAAGATGTGTAGGAATGGATGCCCACATTGACACGCGACACATATTACTGGAAATATATTTAGAAATAGCCCCCCACCAGACTTATTCATAACAAACGAATAAGTAATTTTTCTAAAGGTTTATGAATAAATCATACATGGGGCCCACCAAGAAGCCCTTAGATGGGTCTCGTAAGGCTTGTGAGATCCCAAGCTTATAACATGAGCTCCATATGCAGAAAACGCAAAATACACAACAAAGCATCAGACCTGAAGATTATTTTACAGAATGGTGGTGTTAGATTTTCAGAATATATTTAAGATACCTCATACTTGGTGCAAGCAAGCAATTATATTGCTTTCAGAGTTCTGGGAGTGACATACAGTAATATTCAAAAATACTTCAAATTTGCTTGGTTTGCAAATGTCAAACCTAGCAATAATAAAAACACTCCCCGCTACAAATGTCTGTATCTAGGGCATATTAGTATAATGTGCATAATTATACTCTGCTGTAAAAAAACAAAACCTAGCATAATCAAAAGTCTTCATAAACTGTGTACTGCAGTTGGGGAATAACCACTGCTCGAAACTCCTAGTGTCTGAAAATAGCAGGAGAAAACAGAGACAGACTGTGAAGAGGGAATGTCAAGAGGAACAGAAGGAGGGGAACAAGGCAGAATGGAGGGTCCTGGGGTGGCAGCAGGGGGCAAGGGGTCCATCTGATGACAGGCTGCTCCGCTCTAGGTGACAACATGGCAGGGGGCTGGATTACAGAGCTCATGAGGTGGACAGACCTCGGAGAGATGGAGAGAGAAAAAAAACCAATGGAGCATTGCTTTCCGAAGGGAATACTGTGATTGTAGAGAATCCCTAGCAACCTATCTAGAGTGCAAGTGTCCAGGCTGTGATGTCAGGGATTGCAGCAATGAGAGATGCAGGGGGAGCGATGGGGGAGCAGAGGAAGGTGAAACAGCAGGCTGATCTGGACAAGCTGGAGATTCTTGCTCGATTCCGGACGTTTTCTGTTGAAACAGTAGGTGTGGAGATCCATAGTGAAGAGGAATGTTTTTTATTTAAAAAAGGACACCACAGTTTCTTTTCTCTTCCATCTGAGGTTGTCTGGTTTGTTCAGATTGAGAAGTCACGCAGAAATACACATAAGAAGTTCTCCTTTTCCTTCTTTCTTTTTGGTTGTTAAGTTTGTTCATTTTTGTTTTTTTCAACCATAAGAAATAAAGTCCACGTGCTGAGTTACGCACGATATAAAATGTGAGATCTTGATATTTTTTTCGTCCATTTTTGGAAACTGGAGCACAGTCCACATGTAGACAAATAACGCATGAAAGCTAACGCTGTGCCAAGTTTGTCTCATTTTTTGCCGAACGGATGAGGAACAAAGCGGACCAAACTGATTTTGCAACATTTTAGAATGGGGAGTGCTAGTAATCCTTCTCATTAAGAACTGAGGAAAATAGTGTGATTACCGAGCAAAAATAAAAATAAGTCTCCAATCTTGACCTTCATATTGGGCAATGGAATACATTTTGCCATCGCTTTGTTTGAAACCTAAACATCGCCTTTAACTGTGAGGTTTGAAGTTAGAGTGCAGGCATCTATATCTTCCCACCCTCCCCTCAAATCCCCACTTCCTGAAGAAAAAAATAAAGTACATGTAAGCTGCAAAACGTAAACTACCTTTTGAGCACTTGAGAGATCTTTAAAATTCATAACTAGTCAATTTACAAATGGAAAGTAGAACAGTCAAGAGGGATTATAGATATTTTTTTTAAATTAAAAAAATCAGTTGGAATATAGAAGAAACTGAACACAAAAATATCTAGAAAACTGACACAGAGTATTTCACTATACAATGGCGAAACTTTCTACTGTACTGCTTTGTGACAAACTACTTGGTTGTTATGGTATGAGTGACAGATTCAGTGCGGAAAACTGACGAGTTTAACAAATTGTTTATGGTTGTCCAAATTTTGACCAAACATTGCAGACTTCCTGTTTGGCACTTTCAGTCATGTGTCAAGTTCTTAATTCTCCTTTTGAAAATTCTGAAAGTGATGTCATATTGAGTTGTTTAATTTGGACATTAAAGTGTTTAACAATTCAGCCTAGACCTTTATTTTTACGTCCTCATTCTTAAGTTGGGGTTTGGCATTAAGGCACATTACAGCAGGAAAATATGGAAGAACAGCTTTGTTCGAAGTTCATGATGGAGGAAAAGACTTAAATCAAGGGGCCCTTGACTTTCAACATCATTCCAAATTTGTCAGCATGCAAGTTGACAAAAAACAACCTTCGGCAAACCACGGACCCTAACGACATAAAGCTTGCACACATATGTCAGAGCACTGGTTTAGTCAGGCATTCTGCAAGCGCCTCCCCAGTGCCCTTGAGTCTGCTGACATTCTGTTCCTTCTCCCTCCTTCTGCAACCGTTCCAGAAGATTGTGAAAAATATGATTAGTGTACTGTGTTCACATGCACAGGAAAATAAATCAATGCTGCACGTGATCCATTAGTATAGCACTGCTTTGCAACATGGCAATACTTCCTCAGATCATTTCCCTTCTCAGTCTTGAGCTCTTTAGGGTGAGGAGGTTGATCAGCATATCCCAAGACCGAAGAAGAAACAGTAACAATAGTATAGAACACAAAATAACAGAGGAAGCAACAATACAAACGAGAGAAAAAATATATTTAACGGCATGAACTGATCTGTTTAGTTGGACATCTACAGCTCTACATAGTAAAGCTCTGTGCATCCCTAGTCTTGGCAAGTCCTCCCTCCTCTGATCGTGTCTTCACAGCAAAGATGAAGGTGCTGAAAAGAGAGAAAATGGAGCTCCAGGCCCTAAAATGTTAACTCCCCCAAGGACAAGGTTTGAGTCAAAGCACGTAGGCAAAGGAGAGGATTAACGATTAATGAAAAAATACACACGTATGCAGATTAATGACAGGTATATTTACTGCTCAGAAAAGCAGGATTTTACATTCAATCAGTCCGACTTTCCAAAAAGAACACTTTTTGATTTTTGTTTAAACAGTTGAATGACTAATATTCATACTCAAACAGCAAAGAAGTGACTTAGCCAAGGTATTAATGCTACACAAAGAAGTAGACAAGAGTTCTGTTTATATGGAGAGCCGTGGCATTTAGTCTTATGATATGGTTTTATATATTCCTTAGAGTAATGTAGGATGTAAAACAGAAGAGGCAAACAACAGTGTGGTCCTAAACAGTACATCACTGCCAGCAGTACAGAGTTGTTCCTGCTGGCAGTCCTGTCCTCTACACAATCCTACAACTCTTTCAACAGGACATACGATACTTTTTTGCCCCTCCTAAGGTATAGCACAATTAATGTGCTAATTAATACACTCTAACATAGAGCACAGGAAATCAGACACTAAAGAGTGCAGTTCTAATCTCCACATGTGGAAATGATTTACAAGAAAAGTATAAAAAAAGTACTGAATTTTACTGCATTGTATGAACCCCTTCTAATAAAATGCGGTATTTTTTCAAAATAGGGTTTAAACTAGTTATAATACTGAAAGAAGAAAATGCTGGCTGTAAAATATGTAACAGTAAGACAAGGCAGAATGTTTGAAGATGAAATCAAAGCAATTGAAATGGACCCCATAAAATGGAATCAATATGACAAAAACATTTATCAAAATGTTCAGTGAACTTTGGAAACTACTCTCACATTTCAAAGCCGTTTCATTAATCATTAGAAAACATAAATTTACCCAGAAAGAGTCTGCAGACATCAATTTGTCTCCATAGTACCCAGAAAAAGTGCACTTCTGATGATAAGTAATTGAATACAAAATACACAAGAACAAAATCACTGTGGTTAAAAATCCTTTCAATGCATGAGAGCCAGAGATTTGTGGCCTTTAGCCAGGTTTTGTTCTCATTTTGTAAAAAAAAACTTGAAGGCAAAACAACACACCAAGACAAAACAAAAGCTTAAAATCTTCCTAGCCCAAACCCCAGGCTATCTGTCTAACTTTGGCCAAACAAAACTGAATTCTTTATGTCCTTTCTCAGGCAGATAAAAATTCTGTAAGAAATGTGCAGCTGTCCATTGAAAAGAAGGGTTTCTTCTTTAATTTTCTTCATACAACAGTTCAGACGCCAACTGGAATTTTTTTTTTAAAGAAGCTGTGTATTTCACCCTTAGCAACGAGATGGATCCAAAAAAATAAAATGAGTAGGAGCTGCAAGAGGATTAAAAATGCAAGTCGATTCTGAAACCGAAAATAAAAAAGTGAAGCAAGGAGTCCCATGTAGGTCACAGCCACCCACTGTAGGCTCTGTTTGCTGTCCAGAGTTGTGTACAGATAAGAATCTGAAGCTCATGATTGTTTTGCCATTTCCAGAACGGAGGAGAGTCCTCGAGGATTGAGGATTGAGGGACAGACAGATCAGGAGCGTGCCGGCGGCACCCTCCTGACGAGCAGCCAGCGCTAGGAGTTTTGGAGCAGCCGTCTGTAGTGAGGCATCACCTCATGTTCGGGGAGGTGGAGACTGAACTCGAGAGCAACCAGTACCGGGAATTCAAAAGCTATAAGCTCACGGCGATTCAGACGAAACTTCTCCTCCAGTTTCTGAAAGACAATTTCCAAACAGGCAGTTAAAAGGCGAACCCAGCTCTGAGCCAGGTGGCATGTTATGTTTTTTTTTTGTCATGCCTCGCTGGCCAAATGAATGTTTTACAAAGGGCTGTAAAATAAAGAGCTAGAAAACAAATTCTCCCATCCTGTTCCCATGTGGGGCTCTGGGGCTTAATGTAATGTGAGAGACGATTTGTCCCCTCTGAGGAAAAATCAGTTTGCTTTATGAAAAGCAGCTGCCTCAACTCTTTGCCTCTCCAGATACATTCTGGGAGAAACATGAGCTGTTAGGCACCAAACGTCCAACTTTGTATAAAATCTTAAGGCCAAGGCATAATGAACAGAAGACAATATCATGGAAAATGTTCATCTTTCAAGAGTAACTAAATGTGTCTGTAGAAAGCAGCTTTGCACGTGAATCTGAAACCTCTTTCTTGTACCAAAGATGCACAAATCCTGAAAGAGATGTGTCTTATTACAGAATAGACTGAGGCCAGTGCCACACTGGGGAGCAGAAAGAAAGATAACAGCGTGTTGACTGTGTGGCCTTCTTCAGGTTAGGCCTTATTTCGACACAAAAGGAAGCCGTATCGCAGGACGGAAGAGAGCTCTGGCAGCGGCGTACTCACGTCGATCAGATGTTTCACCTCATGCTTCCGGAGGTCGCTCCCGATCTTCGCTGCCAGCAGCACGCAGGCCCCGGCGCACAGCTTGCGGTTCTGCTTGTTCAGCTTTCCCCGGAGAGCCAGCTTCTCGAAGTACACGAAGGCCATGGCCACTGTGGGCTCTTCGAAGCCGCACTCCTCCTGCGCCAGCTTGCGCATTTCCCTCTTCAGGCTGGACACGGGCAACGAGGACAAAGCCAGTCGGTACAATGTGGCCAAAGAGCTGTGCTGTTTAACTACCATACTGAACAAACACAAGCAGCTGGACCTGCGATGCTTCATTGTTCAAGGGAATGTTATCAGTAAACTAACTTTTGAGCACTTAAGAGATCTTTAAAATTCATAACTAATCAATTTACTAATGGAAAGTAGAACAGTCAAGAGGGATTATAGGTTGATGCTTTTTTAAAATAAAAAAAATCAGAATATAGAAGAAACTGAACACTTAAACATCTCGAAAACTGACACAGAGTATTTCACTATACAGTGGCGAAACTTTCTACTGTACTGCTTTGTGACAAACTACTTGGTTATTATGATATGAGTGACAGATTCAGTGTGGAAAACTGACGAGTATAAAAAAATATAGAAAAAATGTTTATGTTTATGGTGCCGACAATGTACCATTGCACTCATGCCTCACTTCTAACACAACTAATATGAAATAACTAATAAATGTGTTGTTTAGATGCCACATATTGATGAGATGTACCATTTAGAAGGCCTATGAATTAAAAAGGTCAATGCAACAGGTCATCATACCTCCTTATCTTACTGAGGGTGAGTCTGATGTGAGGGAACTTTTCCTTGAAAGTCTCGTTCATGTCCTTTTTGAGGTCTGAGGGTTTCACATACTCAATTACTGTGGTCTGAAAAAGACAGAGCAGTATGCCAATAAAAGTGCATTTACAACAACACAATACCTTAAGGGGCTTCACAATACCAACGCCAAACCTGCTCATGAAAACAAGTCTCTTGAGTCTGATAAGTTCTGGCTTGTGTCTCCTTTTGTTTTAAGTGAACCTGTTCCACATCTGAGTGCTGAAAGAGGAGGAACAGTGCTCAAGTATGGGATAAAGCAGGAAACATGGGGACAGCATAGAGTAAGCCTCTGTACACAGAACACACAGGGTACAGATTCAATTCTCTGCTGAAGGCTGCCGCGCCAATGAGAAAAGTACTTAACACCGGAGGCTCCAGCCCAAGCAGGTCACTTCCACGCAAACAAGAACAGATCCTGCTCGACCTTGAAGTCTGCCGAGCACTGCCCAGTAAAGGCTAGAAGGAGAACCCAGTATTATCCATTCGTCCACACTCATCCCATTCCTACTGCTGCTGTTGGACATGCTAACATCAAACAGCACAGTGGAGTAGGGCATATAGTCTCCTAAAAGTGTGGTATGACAACTAAGACAACTTTTTTATACTCGAAGCTAACATATTTCTTCTTGCATCTCAATACATGGAGTGTGGGTGGGAGGAGGTCATGCCCTCATCTCACCCATGTCCACCTGCCTGAGTATAAACGTCACGCTTCCTGCTGACCTGCTTGTCCATTACCCTTTCACATCCCTCCATCCACACCATCTTCACCCACGTTCCCCAACTCAGCCTTTGTTAAGGAGGGTATGAGGGGGTGACGGGTGAGTGACCCCAATAAAGCTTGCTATTCCCATTACACCTCTTGTCCATCTGAGTTAGGATTTGATCAAACTTCTGAATGACTAGTGGGTGCTGCTACAAACACATACGCACAGTATTACTGAACTCAACCTTGTAAGGTGACTTTCCATTATTTCACATTATCATTAACATAATTTCATTTCATAGCTGTTTCCTCAAGTATTAAAACAACAAAAACTGTCAAAGGGATGTTTCCCCATTTCCTTATCTGATAAAAACAAGAACAAATGCATACCATTTACATACAAATACTGCATTGAACTGACTACAGATTATTATTCAAATATCAAATTGTTTTCTGGCAGAAAGTGGATGTGTGAAATGAAAGTTCTTTGCACATGAAAAAGCCAGGTTCAGTCTCTCCAGTTAGTTTCTATGGCAACTCAGCCAACCAGAACAGGGATCTGAGTGGAATGGGAGCCCGAGGATGGAACTGCTGTATGTACTGATGTTCATTTAAGCCGATTCAACACGTATTTTTTTCATATCCACTTCATGATGGCGAAGATGACCATCAACGACAACAACACTCAATGAAAACATCCAGTTAACCCAAACTGACCAATATTATCACCAAGATCTTCCCATCTTTTGTCGAGATATTTTTTTTTTACAAAGAAAAGCAAAATCAGTTTTTTTTCTTTGGGTAAACTTGTAAAAGTTCCTCAATATCATGTTATGTTGAGGCAATCAGAAACTCTAGCACTGATTGATGAGTCACAAACTGGTATATAGATTTCTTTTTCAATTTAATCGTTCTAATTTACGAAACGCAGTAACAGACCTACACCGCACAAAATAGCTTATTGATTTACAGTATCTCAGTCAAATGGTTTATGGCATTTTTCATTTTAGTCTTAAGATATACGACTCCTTGTCTCACCTCTTAATATATTGTCATTGACATCAATGTTACCTCCAATGTAAAATGAAAGAAATTCAATATCTAATAGCATCTGCAACTTGAATTCATATAAATGTGGGATATACCCCAGGAGAAATAACAAACGCCACACTAGAAGCCTGATGCACAATATTAGGCCTTGTTTCATGCAGAATTCTGGAATCCTGAAACTCCGACTGAACAAAATGTATTGCAATACAGTCAACCAGCACTTTTCAGAAAAAAAGCACTGAAACTTAACCAGTTGGCAAGATTTCTACGCTGTATTATGTACTGCTAAGGGGGGATCGAAAATTGAGAAACACAAGAAAGAGATCGTTTGTGGTGGCAACACAGCAGAACAGGCTTCCCCTCCACGTACTGTCTGAGATTTAAACCAGCTACTGTAAGCTGAGGATTTATTTAACGCAGGACAGTTGGCAGCAGGCAAGATCCCTCTTGATTGCTCTTAGAAGGACCCGTAACAGTGCGAAGACAAACGCCCTAACTGCTGACACTGCAGTAGCAGGAAGAGGAGGGTGACTTCGTGGGAATGGGTGACACACCCCTACAGCTGGGCCCGCTCTCTAAGGCTACTGTCTAACTCCCTGGGTTAAGGATCCTCCTGCCGGTGGGGCAGTGGCCTGCAGTCTGCAGAGCCCATGTCTGTGTGGAAGCTGCAGCCAAGTTTCATACAGACCTTTCGGGGGATAAATTTGTTTTTTTTAAAAACCTAGACTGACCACAGTACCGCCATACAAAATACTGTTCTGAAAGGGTCTGCCACTCCTTTGAACCACAAAGGCATCAATGCAGACTGGAACCCTGATTGGTTAAAATAAGAATCAATTAACAAGCAAAGTCCTTTTTTACAGATGTGCTGCATGTCACTGCTCTGGGTTTAATTTACATTTTAAGCTGCATTAACCACAAATGCACATGTTTGCTATTCATCAAATAGCCTGCAGTGCAGCTGTATCAAGCACTGTAACTGTTTACAAACAATCTGGAACTCAAAAGGTAATGAACGCTTTTTCAGGGCAAAAAATAAAACATGTAATCAACTGTTAAATAATAAATGCTTTTTTTTGCATCATAATTAGGTAAACTGGCCTCTAGCAAAATACCTATCTGTGTTCTAAAATCCATCCCAGCAAATTCCACAACTTAACAAATCAAAGAGTAATTCTATCAGCCATTCTACTGAGTTACGATTCTGCTTCACATTTGGGTTCAAGAACCGTATTCCACATAAAACACATCAGGACTTCAGATTTCTTGAATTTAAACATGTTATTGGAAAACCGGCTTCACTACACAAGGAATGGGGGCAAACATGGCATGCCAATAGCGCAAACAGAAGCTTTTTTTCTCTTGTGTCTGAGGTGGAGACGCTGAAACTCGACACTGAGCTCTTTCAGCCAGCACCACCCCACTCTTTTGACAGGTTAAACATGACATCAGATTGCCCATCTGTTCTGTCCCAAGGGATTTTCTCCTACCTTTTTTTTTTAAGTCATGCTTCTTGTATTCTATTGTCTTCTGTCTGACTTTAGCTGATCTGCTGGCGACCCTGGACAGGGTTCAAGTCAATAGCGCCGTGTTGTAAGGCTTGAAAAGCGAGTGAAATGCAGCACCGTTTCACCACGTTCCCCACATTTTCCTTTCCCTTCTGCAGTGCAGTAGGGGAATAAATATGTGCTTCAGTTTGTGCTTTAACACGATATTCTCCCATTGAGATTTCAGCAGTTTCTATCAAGATTTCCCCCGTTCTGTGGATCACGAGAGGCCGGCTGGGCCCCGTCAGAAGGAGGGATTCAGCACAGCGAGGCAGTGAAAGAAGAGAGAGGACCGCCCGTGCTGTGGGGACGAGCAACAGATGAAGCTCTGCACCTGGACCACTTTCACTGCCTCTTCCTCTCCATGGAAATGTATCTTCAGGCAAGAGAGAAAAGGGCAACAAGGCAGAAATGAAGATCTCTGTTCAACGCAATTTCTAAATGCTCTCAAGCAGTAAAACTGAAAGTCGTGCTGCTGTGCTTCATCACGCCTTGTGCCGTCCTCATTAACTGTACATTAGCTGCCCTTCCCTCTCTAACGATATGTAAGGAAAGGAATGGAATAATGAAGGTTTAATTACAAGCCCGGGACCTCCATTTGCAGCGCAGTGATGAACACTGCCACCTGAGGCCTTGCTGCAGAGGGATATATCCATAATTATAGCCCGGCTCCCCGCCCGCCGCTGGGAATGGTCTTTATCAATCTGACAGGAGATGTCCACTCAGGTGGGAAGCTCTCATGTCATGTTCCTACATGAAGGACAAGTGGTGTGTGTGAGGGGGGTGGGCTGAGTAATGTACTAGGGGAGCAATGCAGAGATTTAATTATGCAAATCTGGAATTCTTGTTAGTACTGCGGTGGCCTGACTACATTATTTATGTATAAATTGCTTTGTGATTTCTCATTTCCTTCCAAATTACGCAAAATAGGCGTTAACATTTTTGTATGTGTAGGGCTTAAAACCTTCCGAAAAAGCATAATGACCAAACTAACTGCACTAACACAGCAGCACAGAATTCTTGAGTATGTGTGACAAAGAACGTCGCTCTCTCTGCAACAGACAAGCCCTCACAAATTCTCATTTTGTTCCTGATATAAATCAGAGGCAGAAATAGCACATCAAATTATATATCATCCATCACCTTAGCAAACATATTTCACCCTTCTACAACAATCCATTAATATAATAAAAAGTCACAGATTTCCATTATATTATTATTATTATTATTGTTATTATTATTTATATAATAATATTTGCAAATGTCCTAACCCAAGTGTCCCTACCCTTAGGCCCAACAAATATCCTCAAATAATCAGGAAGCGGAAACAGCACTGTTGAGCGTTCTCCCTCACACCTGAGGAAAGACTTGACAGACAAGATGTCACCTTTCTGTTTCTCCTTTCTGCTTCCGCAGTGTGAAATTAACCCTTACCTGTTCCTCTGCAGCCAGAGCACGCTGACGCAGCTCCCCACTTGAAACTGAGAGGGTGACTAAGAAAGCCAGAAGCATCAGGGAGTGTGTGTCTCACCCCCTCCATTGTGAATTCACACTTCTCCCATCTGGGAGACCAGGTGTAAAACCAACAGACTCAGGAAATCTTTCATTCCCACTGCAATCACACTCTTAAACAATGCAAACTAACTACCCTGTCTCTTGCTTCTTTCTCCTGTAACACTGCTGTATTCTCTTCCCTTTTGATCATGTGTATTGTCATTGTGTTGTGTTTGACTGTGCCGTAACACAAATTTCCCCTAGGGGACAATAAAGCTTGAATTAAATTGAATTGAACTGAATTCTTTATCAAGCCTGGACATCTGCAGCCCAGCCAGGGAGAGAGTTGGCAGCGTGCAGGAGTCCGAGCACGGTCAGGGGGAGAGCTCTCCTGGCTCTGCTGAAACACTGCGGCTGGCCTCCCGGGCGCCTGCCTGGCACACTGACCTGTCGGTGAGGGATAGGTCATGACACCACGACCAGAAGCCTGGCTTTCCAGCACTCCCAGTGCCTCGTTACACTGGGAGGTGGTGCATTAACAGTGAATCTCGGTTGTGAAGGGAAGGCATGGGCACACATGGGCCCATCAGATTTATGCTTCAAGAGTTGGGTATCAGGCTGATCTGTAAAACATCTTCTCAAAGCCCCGACCTGTCTCGTCCCTTCAGAATGCCGTGTTTGGTCAGCACTCCTGTAAATACCGCTTCTGAGTATAAAGGAGATGCAGATCGCGGTTGCTTGGTGACATCCTTTGGCCTGTATCATGTTGTTCTGCTTCTTAGTTCAAAAAACCTGTTCGACCTTTAACCATTTTCCTGGAGCGATTTCATGGCAACTCTAACTCTGTGAGCACATGTGACATGAGCGACATGTTTTCAGCGGAACATCGTTAGGCCTTTGGCAAACAAATGTGCCTTCTGTATCAGAGCTCTCCTCCTGCTTCACTGCTAGTTTCCTATCAGTCTTAGAGGATCCAAGTCTCTTCTGGCACAATAAGAAGACTAAAGCACCGGAACAACTGCAGTTAACTGAGAAATTTCATTATGTGAAAAATATATATTTGCTGTGTTTATGTGCTATCTGGTGCACTTTTAATCACTCGTGTTCAAGCTGCTTCAGGTAACAAGTGCATGTGTACGATTTCTACATTTGTTCCATGCTGGTTACTAAGCTTACAGCTCTCAAAAGACCTATTGAGTAAGATTTCAAAGCCAGTCAGAATAGGTTTATCGAATTAGTGCGGAGTCTCAATATCATTAAATTCATGCAGTGTGGTTCACAATGGATCTTGACACAAATAGCAGCAATAAAAATGAGATGAGGGTGTTTTTCCTTAAGCAGTCTCATACTGTGGTGACTACATTCTTTAGCTTTGTGAAATACATTTTTATTGGGAAATTACAAGCCTACGAGACTCGACAAAGGAATAAGTAACAACCCTAATATAAAACTTCTAATCCCCACCTTCCTCAAACAGTACAGTATGTTCTTCATGCTTAAGTAAATTCTGAAAAAAAGTGAAAGCTATGCACAAACAAAAAAACAGCACAGTAATTTGATAAAAGTCATTGTCAAGGTTAGCCCATCTCTGCTAAGTTTCATTAAAGAGTTTTTGAAAAAAGGCCACTAACAAACCACACCAGATGGGAAATACTTTGATATGTGATACAAATTCAACTGTAAGATACTTAAAAATCACTGATTACTTCGATGTACTTATAAAACGGCAAAGAAAAAATCACTACCTAAGGTATACTGCTTCAATTTGACAAAAGCTGTTTTTATTACTGACACTTTATATTCCTGAAACTTGCTTTGATTTCAACGACATCCAGAACTTCTTACACAGTTTTGCTGTAGATGGTTTTAGTAATTGTTAAATATTCTGTAGGAAACTGCACCAAAACCCAGAATTTATATATCAGGGTAAACGTTTTAACTATGTAGCAGGGAGCCACAAATCTGGAGATAAAATGTGAAAGCAGATTACAGATTCCTTGCCTTGCCAGCACTTTACAGCGTACAGGCACAGGTTCTAGTGAAAATTTTCAGATCAGATACACATTCAATCTAACTGACCCTTGAAACCCAAATGCTAGTGAAGTCTGCACTGCAAATCTTAAATGGGATCTCAGACAAATAAAATGAGATTTTCAGATCTGCGAGTCTTTCTACGCGTACAGGCTCTCTCGGCTCCTCGCGATGTGAAGCAGGCTCCACCTACCATGTACGAGGGGAAGATCAGTACTCTCTTGTGCTTTCCACACGGCCACTGGGGGTCGTCCAGGAGGTTGGGGTCGTACTCCAGGAGGTCACCGAGGTCATTCCCTGCGAGGGCAACGAGAAACACACCACTCAAAAAACATCACCTTGTGGGAGGGCCCTCGAGGTTCCTGCATTTTACCCATGGTTGAATAAAGATCTCTCTTCAAGGACAGAACAACAACAGGACATTTCTCATGGAAATCTATGCAAAACCTGACCTACCACCACAATCAATTCAACACTTACACGTTTGTATTTACCGCAAGGCATAAATGTTAATCTTTTACCCGTTTTAACTTTAAATAAACCTTCACAGTAACTCATTATGTCTATATGTGAGACTATTTACAGCTTAACATTTTCCAGTCTTTGTATTTGTGTTACTGGCAACCTTAAACATAGGTGCTAAAATGTGCCCTGGTCCTCCCCAATGTCCCCTTCTCTGTACCAGAGAACTTCTCAATCTCGTCATTTAGCGCTCCGAATCACAGCGCTCATTCACAAAGTGCTTAAAAAACGGGGAACATCACTATCATAAAACATGAAGGTGGAGCCGTCAAAACACACACAAGGGAGGTTACAGATAAAAGAAAGCCATTAGGGCCATCAGCAAATTATAAGCTTCATTGAAAAAGACTCTTTTAAAATACTTTCAATGAACATGCATACAAAACATGACACTTATATTGGTTCTGAACGGAGAAACATGCTTGCAGGGAGAGAAAACCCTGTTGCCTGGCCAGTGCGCTTCTCTTCCAACAGCAGAAGGAACACAAGGTGGCTCAGCAGCCGGTATCCAGGCTGACAGGCCCGGCCCGTGGCTCACAGCGCTGATAACTGTCCAGCGCGCATCCAGCAGGTGACACTGAGGCCCTGCTGTTCACGTTCCAGAACGTGCGAGACAGCTTCAGAAAGCTTGCCGAGGTGCGTGTCCCAAAGAGCACTGCGGTTTCCTTCTTCTCCCGTCTCTGGCCAGTGCTTGGATTTCACTTTGGATTAAAAATACCCCAAGACTGAATCATTCTCTTATTAACATTTTAAGTCCTTATGCGCACTGGACCGTATTAATTTTGAACCAAACTTCGAAATCAACTGACCTGCAGTTTAGAAATGTTGGACAACCTATTTTACAGTTACAGTTAAAACCTTGCCTGCCTGAAAACCCTCATGGTAGGTAAATCTGAAGTCGATAAACTGACGTTGCTAATAAAAACCCTTAAACATTCTTTTTTCACCCCCAACAACTTAACACAAAATCACCAGATTAAAGTGAAATGAAACATGTCTCAACAAAAAACAACACACCACCAGTGCCATCCATTCATTTTCTAACCACTTCATGCAGCTCAGAGTTGCGGCGGAGCTGGAGCCCATCCCAGCAAGAACCAGGCAGGACACACCCTGGCCGGGACGCCAGTCCATGGGGGGACATACAGACACACTCACACCAGGACCTGATTTCCCAAAAGCCAACAAACCCACCAGCATGTCTTTGCACTGTGGGAGGAAACCAGAGCACCTGGAGGAAACCCATGTGGTCATGAGAACATGTGAACTCCACACAGACAGCACCCCAGGACCCAAGACCCCAGCACTAAAATAGTCCTGTCTCATCGGTGCTGAAGACCTGATCAGGTAATTAACCTTTTTATCAGTCAGCACCTTCGGCTCTTCAGGAAACGTGGATGCTGCCTCCCCTGCTAACTTCACATCATACAGGCTGTAGCTTTTCAGTCTCCCTCTCCTGAACTTTCCACAAGACGCCTGTAACAGCTCTTATCTTTATCAGATGTATTATATATAAACTCGAAGGCGTCTTTTCTGTGTCTCTTCTTCCACCCAAAAGTTCAAAGCCTTTTCCAATTTTCAATGTTCTGGTGAAAATGCATGCATGCAGCTTTAAGTGAAGCCTTTTATTTTATCCTTTAGATATATCACCAAACTTCCATGCTCAGCAACACCAGATTCTCTCTCATACACTTAGGAGGCATTTTAATTGTTTATTTAACTATTACATAACATATATATTCTGATGTATATCAGAGATGCAATTGAAAACGGACTTGTGTACAGTGAGGCAGACGATGGCAGATGACAAGTCAACCAAAAAAAAACATAGCACTGGTCTTGTGCTTCATCCAGAACCCAGCCTCAATTTAAGCTTTGGCAGCTGGGACAGCTACCTTTACAGCGATGGTTAGGCTGAACTTTTTCCTCCAGGGACCGACGGCTAAATGCAAGGCCTGATTCTCAGGGAGGATGAGGCAACAGCAAGGATCATACCCTGTCTCCCAAGACTATGCTCATAAGAGCCGTGATGTGGAACAAGGAGCTGTGTGTCCACCTCACAGTCAGCTGACCACTGAGTGCTGCCCAGTACTCACAGCACCACCTTTCAGTATCTACATTTGTGAACAAGGATGACTTTGCTCTTGCTGTAAAAGCAGCAACATCTCATCAAATTCGCCCTGAACAGGGACTGAACATCTTGGAGTAACACATCCGGGTCTGAAGGTTTAACCCAAACTCTCAGAAACACAAGTCACTGTGTATCACGTTGAACACAACACAAGCACAACGGAAACATTGAAGCCAACCTTCCCCTTGCAACAACAATAGTCATGACCCCACCCTCAACCAATCTTGGAGCCATGGCTCACCATGCAGAGAGCTATTAAAGAAGGTGGCCAGCAAGACGCAGACAAGAGTTCACGTGATCCCGAATCCAGCTGGCACAAGACGGGGAGCTTCTACAGCAGTAGCAATGGCTCTGGTGCTCAGTATGGCCCCAACACAGGCCAGCTCAACGCTGTGATGCACTGCGTCACCGGAAACACTTGTCTACTCCAACAGCTGCAGTGCCTAATGGCTTCATTCATTCAACGTTTGTGTTTTCTTTCTTCTCTTTTCAGCATGGAATAAACCTATTACTTGTGCCTTATTTAGTAATTATTTGTCCTGTTTAAGCTTGCTATGTAGTTATTATCTTATTCCTGAGCTAAGGAACTCGTCTCGCTCAGTATTCCCCGACTATAGGTGGTGTCATCTCTCTTTTTTTTTTTTAAGGATGACAAATCAGCATCAAGCCGACGCAGGGGGATCCTGCCTGTGACCCCGCGCGTGTGCCGTGGCCGTCTCTGAGCTGCACCCACACAGATTCGGGAAGGTGTGGGCTCCCGATGCACAGGTGGTAAATTCTGAAAGCCGTCTCCAGGAGCGGACAGCGCCCACGGACACGGCGCTCCCCGCCAGCCCCACGGCGGCGCGGCGGCGGCGGACTGACCCGCGTCGATGCTGCCCTGCGTGCTGCTGGTCCTGGCCAGGCTGAGGCTGCGGTGGCTGGCGTTCCGGAACTGGGTGAAGGAGGAGGTGGAGTCGATGGTGTTCCTCCGGCCGCTCAGCGCGTTGGTGGGGTAGAGGAACTGGGTGTAGGACACAGTCTGGGGAAACAAGAACCGCTGCTGAAGAGAAGCGTCCACACACCGGGCCCCCATGTCCGGCTCATGGCCGCTGGAGCTTCCCCAAGCTCCCCCCTCACTCCCACCCCGGCCCTGCCCCTCGGGAGCCCCTCACCTTGCCGTCGGCCCCCAGCTCCACGCCCTCCAGTCCGATCACCATCTCCTTGGCACTGACGCCTCCGGACGGGTGGCGCTGGCGCCCGCCGTCCAGCTTCAGCTCCCTGCCGGGCAGAAGGCTGTTTGAGTTCCTCACAGATCCATCCTCGCCCCCCAACACCCCGCACAGTTTCCAGAGCAGCTACAGCCTTCGCACGTTTCCAATCTCCCACTCTCCCGTCTGGATGAGTAAGGTTAGTTGTGTTCCGTATCAAACATGCAACCTCACAAAAGACAGACATCTGTGGGGCACGCTTTCTGTGCTTGACAACACGCCCACCACAGCAGCCAGGAACATGGGTGCACAGTCACCCAGTGCAAGAGTCGCTGATTGTACCTTCTCACATACACTTGGGAAATTTCAGACCACATGGCTGCCACTCTTCCCTTTGTGGTTTCGTTCACAGCACTACACTAGTGAAAACACTGGAAAACCGTCACGTCGAATGATTCAGCTTCTGCTATCTTGAGACTAATATACGACAGCAGCCACTAGAACCTAGAACCGACCCTTACTAACTCGGGAACCTGCCTGGGGCTTCGATGACCTTCAACTGTTCGGTAATCAAAAGTCCAAAGATAACCTGAACTCCTGACTGTGCGCACCTACAGTATGAGATATTCACATAATCAAGCAAAGCCAAAGAAACCGTCAAACTGAGCTCGTATTAAATGAGTCTGTAAGTGTGCCGATTCTTTTAACAAGGACTACAGTAGCGGTTTCCTTTACTAGCGAATGCCTGTTAACTCTCTAATGCATATTGATAATAATTCCTTGCATCTGTATAGTGCTTTCCAATCCCAAAGGGTCCTAAAGCAGGGAGGACACACCTCACCCACCACAGACGTGCAGCAGCGATTGTGCACCAGCAGCTGCAGCGAATTCCCAATGATGAGGTTCCTATGCCGACGCAGGAGCGGGTAGATATCGAAACAGGCGTATCACCCGAAACGCCAGGCGAGGTTCAAGGTCGAAGGGCAAAAGGGAAGAAGTATCACAAGCGAGGTAGAGCTCTCTATGAGAAGACTCAATACCGAGCAGCGGGAAGCTGGTCTGGACGGTTTAAATAGCGCTGCCTGGCGCATGGCAGGGCGTGTGCTGATGGATTAACACGTGCGGCCGTGCTCGTTATTATCAACCCGCTGCTGGCGCTGGTTTGCTCTTTTGTGGGCTGATCTCTGCTGGCTGGCGACGCTGTACTGCAGATCAGAAATGAGAAACGACTTCACTAGTTGAATTACTGTATGTAGGAAATTTAGGAAGACCCCTGGAGTAAAGGCCCCCTCAATAACCCATCTAAATCACTTACGATGAAGCAAAAGCTGATAAAAAACAATTACCTTAATCCATAAGCAAGAGTTTCGTAAAGCACCAATATTTCCAAACCCTCCTCTTGTCAACATTTCAACTTTCTAAAACCCTTCCAATTTTATCTTTGAAAAATGCCAACTGATTTTTTAAAATAAAAAAATACAGAAGAAATCAGAATGATCATTTATTATCACTTTTTTTCAGTTCTCAACTATAAAGTTCTCAAAACACCCTTGATTCAGATTTATATAAGTGAGAACATCATTCTGAAATAATTTTAGCAAGATAAACACAGGTGGTGAATCAATTATTCTACACAAAACAGAAGAGAACTGAAGTATTTTAGTTTTGTAGTACAAAGTGGTTTTATGTAAACTGTCTGATCTAGAAAAACACTTATTTTAATAACTGACAGATCACAGGCGATTTCTCTCGCTTTGCTGGATATCAGACCTGCCTGTTTATTGAGATTTCAATAATGAAGAGCAATACTGTGATCTGTATTGAAAGCGTGATTTTGTTTTTGACAGAGTCTGATAAAATCAAACACAAGCTACACAGCTGAAAAGCTCATAAGGCTGCGTCTGAAATAAAAAAAATCTGGAAAAGGATTTTTCTGTTCGCAATTCTTGCTGTACACGTAGGAAATTAGCCGTTGTAATGGAAGGAAAAACAAAACCATGGGCTGCAGACACTGAATGCTGTCTTGTCGATCAGACGGTGGTGACAAGCTGTTTTTATCTCTAGGGGTTACCTAGGAGACACATTAGATGTCCGTGCTGCCCTGCTCCCAGGACCAGCAGAAGCCCAGCCTAGCCCTGTGTGTCCTGTGGAGACAGTCCTACAGAGAGTGTGCGATGTCACCCTGGAAAGGAGTGGGAATGAACTTCGCAAGATCAATGAACTCCCTTTGTCACCTTTTGTTTTTATCATCTCTTGAGACTGGACAATTAAATTACCGAAGACAAGTGCTACAATTACTGGAAACCACAAAGGGAATGGTCTTATTTTTTTACCTGATTGCAAAGCAGCATTTAGGAAATGTCAATTGCTACACAGTACAATAACGGCAAACCATGACAATCTGTATTAAGTTTGCATTAGGTGAGTATAAGGACCTACCTAGGAATCATATAGGTACAACACACCTAAGGCAGAGCAATTGTTTCTGAGAACACAGTTTGGAATCTTGCTATAAGATGAAGGGAAGAGTGTTAAACAGTATATTCTTTTGTGATGCGCAACACTATTCTTCTGTTATGGCTGTCTCTCTGCTTCTCTAACAAATTGGCATCTCTAGATAGTCAGGTGCTGTTAATTCAGTGTGAAGGCACATTTAATGCTCCAGGGGGATTAAGCAATTAAGAGTATAATTGACTCAGCCAGTTAATAGCACACGTTGGGGAAAATCAGAACAAAGTATTGAACAAGGGGGTTTTTGGTCTGATTTTCGACACTAACCTCATGATCAACCTCAGTGGTGCAACACACACAATTTACAATCAGTTTTTAGCTCCGGTCAAAAGACTGAAACATATATCAGTTATCTCAATTGCAGAACACAAATTTCTTAACAAGACATTTTGAATAAACAAAAACGAAGCTTTAATTGTGATAAAAATATTATACTTTTATGTTCCATTTAAATGAAAAGGGCTAGGTGTTAGCTTTTAAGAAGTACAGAACAAACTGCACTGATTCAGAAGAGATTAAAAACCTTGGGCTCATGGGGAATTTGACTAACACAGCTCTCCCACATTCAAAGCTGCTTGAACAATAACATACAGATTCCACACTCATTATTGCTTAGTAAAAATCTCAAATACAAAATTAGAACTTTCTTTTTTGTGGATTATGCTTTACAAAGCCTGCTTCAGCTTTCCCCAGTGTCAGAGCTTACGTGAGTAAAATCTTACAGGAGTACATGTATCTTTATAAGGATCACAGATCTCCAGTACGCAGTCATCTGATATATTTTACACTACATCTCTTCTGGAGATCACTGACATTCTATTGCCAAAACGTAATGTAACTGAGTTTCGGTGACTGCTGTGTTTGTTAGTAACGACAATCCTACAATACATATACTGTACATGGGCTACAAAATGCTCAGCAAATATTTTATTTCTTATTACTGACACATTGACAAGAGGGTAGCAGAACTATGAATCACGGCTTAATTTTTCTTGCAAGGGATAATATGTCTTGGAAACAGACCGATTGGCGGATTAATTGCAATACTATCTTTCCCTATTACCAGAACTGAAAAGATTCTCACACAGATTCTGAAGAGAGAATTACTCTAGAACCTCTCGACTCAAGAACTTGAATTCGGCATACTTTGCTTTTCTGAGCAGTTGTTCCAGCATCTGATGTACAGTACAAGGACATTATATGACTTTGTTCTTAATGTTCAGGTAAAGTTAAGAGGACCACATGCTTTCTGCTAATATCTGCTTATAACTGATATATCAAGTATGATTCCTATAACATATAATTTATATATGATTTATATACACAATATATAATCTCTCAAAATGCATTACCCATAATATATTAACACGGGAACTGAGGGATTATGAGTCTACAGCATTAGCACTTTTAAGACTTTCAGCAATGCCAGTTCCCATCTTTGTAAGTTATATAAAGCATGCTGTGTATAAATGTCTAAAAAGAAACATTGTTTTAGGCAAAGAACTAGGGCGAGAGGAGAAATGTGATCTTTTATCAGGTTGATTTTCCAGTTTGGTCTGTAGCGCATCACTTGTTATATTAACGCATAAAATCTGTTTGTGCTAGAAGTCATGAGATGAGACTGAAAAAACACTCAGTTTTTCTTTTTTTTCAAGCTATGTGAAGAGTTTCACTGTGTTCAAAAGCCACCACTGTACTTTGTCAATCCTGTTCACTCACCATATAAATCTGTCTCCATTTCAATCTTGGCATTTCGCTAATATGGCATTTTTCTATTTAGCTGGTGCTTTTATTTAAAGCCGCTTACATCTGTACCCATTCCTACAGCTGGGTGCTTTACTGAAGCAGTCTGAGTGAAGTGCCTTGCTCAAGGGCACAACAGCATTGTCCTAATACAGAATCTGTACCCACAACCTTCGGGTGAAATCCGGACCCTTAATCACACTGCAGCCAAAACACTTATAAAACCATAAAAATACCCTTTTGCAATAATACATATATAAACTTGACAGCTCTATTCCATAAAAGAATCTTTAAACCGTAGCTCGTTTCACTACCTACACTTCCTCTGGTATTGCACAACAATGGGTTATTAAAAACGACTTAGCCATAAAGTCAGCTCATTGGAAAAAAGATACAGTGTCATATAAACATACACAAACTCTGTCTAGACAAAGGGGTCAATATGCTCTACTTTGAGCGCACACAGGCTAATAAGTTAAGAGTAAGAAACTTCCTAGACCTCAAAGAGTCATCAACATGAAGCTACTGAATACAACGTTTTTGAGGAAAAAGGTCAATATTCCTAAATGGCAATTACTAAATAAAAAGTCACATTACATTGGATAATCCTCAATTCCCATGATATTAAATACAGCAGAACAAAGAAATACTAAGGTATAGTAAAACTACAACAGAACTATGGCAAAGCATTGACAAGCAAAGAAAGTGGATATTTTAAACAAAAAAACGAAAATATAGAGTCTGCTAGTTTTACAATGGAAATGTTTTCTAAGGAACACGTACTGTAAATATTAAAGAGTTACAAATAACTGGATTCTAAACACTTTTAAACTGGTTACATTAAATTTGAACAGGACAGATATAGTGCAGAGCTCTTTAGGACATCCACTTTCATCTAAGACTTTGTGACAAGCAATGCTTAACTCTCAGCTGTTCTTTTTAACTTTGTGAATGTACAAAACAGTATATGACATAACAGTTTTTCTGTTTCAGTCAGCTGCTTACAACGAAAAAGAAAATCCCGCTGAATTATCAAACTTGGCATGCTTTAGAATACATACCCTGCTTGGCTACAATCTCGATACGGCAGCACAGAAAATACACTACAGAAGGATCTTCTGCCACTGATTAGGACTATCCTATAAAACAAAATGATGATAAACTACATAAATACCATACCTTTTTAAATTTGTCTCATCTAAACATTTTGTTTTAAATATAAGCAGACATCATTTGCCACACAGGACTAAAACAATTTCTAGAATCAAGTTACCTGGATGACCATATGAGTCTTTAGAGCATCCATAGTCAGAATGTCTGACATACTCTTGCTTATTCTTATTTGCTTTCTGGGCAATATCTGTGCATTCAAATTAATGACATTTAAAACAATGCACTGTAAGCTGCTTATGTCCTAATACTAGTAAAAGCTTTCCCATCTCAGAACAGTCCCAAAGGAAGGCCCGACCTGGTAGTTTTGATATGAACAGTCAGCCTGATTGTTTCAATACTGGGAAACATCAATGGGTCTAGGAGAAAACCATGGAAGACAATGGTTCAGAAATGCACTGAGACTGGGAATGAATCCATCTGGTAGATATGCTGTAGCAGGAAAACAGCAACCCGAAATGGAAATGATCCACATTCTTTGTGAAGTTGTAACCATGTACAGATTTTACTGTCTGCATCACATACTGGTACTCCAGAAAAGCATTTCCCGTCCACCAGTATGGGAAAAACCACTCTGAACAGAAAACTCAGGTTTCCAATGACTTTGTAGGTGAGTCACGTCTGAAGAATTTATTAACGACAAACATTCTGCTAGAAAATGTTAATGCCTCTTCCTCAGCAGACACTTGAGTTAAGAGCCTGCAATACTTTCATGACTGACTGTTCTTCCCACAGTCCAACTATGTGTTAACTTGAGATTTTATAGAGAAAAATGTTTTTGAACCCTATTATGTTTGCAGCTCTTCCTTGATGAAGTAGCTGAGTCCGGAAAATAGGGAACCAAAGTTCTGCAGCTGAAAGCTGGGGTCAAACAGCACAGACATACTTGTGTCTACCAGTATACTAACCAAGGCAGAAAATCATATTAGTCTGAGATTTTAGAATTTCAGAGTGATACACCTCCATACAACATACAGCTAGCAAATGGATTAAATTAACACAGCATGTTTTAAAAACATCATATAATTGCACAGAAATTGATTAAATTACAAACAATTTATATTAGCTTTGAATTCTATGGGCCCGAGCCCGTCATCGAGTTTGAATACGAAGACAGCAGCAATACCTCGGGGACCCCAATTATTTGGTTAGTTCCTAATTCAATTTTGATGTAACCCAAAATCTCCTTCATGCATGAATCACAGTAAATTGTTTTTTTATTCTGTACAGCTATTTTTTAGGAATTTCGAAACAAGGAACTGGCCTTAAAAATGCTGAAAAATTTATCTGCATGTAGTGTCCCAGTGTCAACTTACAATTTATTTTCTGCCTTATTTTATGGCGTAATTGAAGCAACAGCCTATTTCATTTTGTTTGGTACCTTCCATTGCGTGTGTCATGCTGTCTCATGTTCTTGATAAAGTGAACCTTCTTAAAGCTCTTTGGTCTGGGTGAACCTGATAGCGTGCGACACCTAAACAAAAAACAGAAAAAAGAAAAGACAACGTGTGTCAGACATACTCACAAAGAACCACACCCAACTCCGGATAGACACATGCAATCGGCCATTATTTTTATTACACACCCACCCAATCTGAGCCCGCCAGCTGTTTAAGATTCATCTGGCAGCCATGAACGCTATGCTGCCCCTCTCCTCCAATCTGCCTCTTGCCAGAATGCAGAGTCCACAATTAATTAAATTCAAGTCAAAATACTTGATTCATCCCCGGTGGGGGCAATTTAAGCAGCAAGCAGCGCAACATACAACACATACCAAACAAAACCACATCGCTGAGAACAAAAACACAGATAAAAACAGTAAACGGACCATAAAAATGACTGAAATTACCAGTGTGTAATATTTAAGAAGGTATAATAAATTAATACAATATATTAAAGTTAATTAGCACCAACTTGCTGAGCTGCATGTCTTGCACGCCTGCAGGAGCCCAGCCAGTCACTGGAGCTGCTGTCTCACAGAGAGCCAGGAGAGCTCTGGGCGACTGAGACCCACCCCGCCCCCCAGGGGGCGCTCAGCCGATTGCACCCCAGTGCTGGAGCAGCTAATGACGTGAACCACCCTCGAACCCGCGTCATGAAGAACACACTTCAGGAAGTCACACAAGATACTGAGAGACTTAAATCAGTTGATTTAAAAGAGATTTATGAAATCTCGCACAACTAAAAAAAACAGTTGATCTTTCATGAAGGCACGTTTCCACACCCATACTCGCACAAAAAAACAAAACAACACATCCTCCTTTCTGGAACCGACTCTAAATGAAAAAAAACGCTTGTCTATGCAAATATTTTCTAGCAACGACAAATAAACAATTCACATTACTTCACAACCGCCACCCACCCCAACACCACCATCTCTATGAGAAACTTCGGCCAGCCTCAGATTTTAATTTAAAACTGACCTCCACAAAGTGATAAAGCAAGCGTCTCACTATATAACTTCTAATAAAGAAATAGTGTGACTGGTCTGCCCAATTTCAAAAGTTATTTGAGCGTATAACTTATAATTAGGCACACCAATCACTCCAATCAGCATCGATGGCACAGCAGGGAGAACTGTCAGCTGCTTCAGCTTCCTCGGCCTGCAGATCTCCACTGACTTGGCTTGGAGACACTGTAGCCAGTCTGGAAAAGGCACAACAGCGCCTGCACTTTCCACGGTGCTTAAAGAAATGCAGTTTGGGGAGGCAGCTCCTCATTAACGTTTACCGCAGCACCACAGAAACTGTCCTCACTAGTGGCAACACTAGTACTGCAGTGACAGATACGCACTGCAAAGGGTTGTAGGGCAACGGCACAGAGGATTATAGGATGTGATTGACCATCAAACGGTGAGATTCACACCATCCGCCGCCGCAATGAAGCCCGACCCATCATTCAGGATCCCAACCATCCTGGACGCAGACTGTTCTCCCCCCTGCGCTCTGGCAAGTGGTACCACACTGTTAAAGCTGGACCACTAGACTCAAGAACAGCTTCTATCCCACTGCAGTGCACATCCTCAACAGATAACTGCAGGGCCCTAATACACATCGGCACTCTGCACTTTTTACATGGGCTACCATTTTTTTTTTGGTCATACTACTACATATTTATTGTTCCAACAACACATTTATGGTTCCTGTTGTCTACATTGTGTAGTGTTGTCTGTTGTACTGTGTACGTCCCGAGAGATCAGTGCGATTAAGAATTCCAATGTACGTGTACATATGGCACTAAACTACTCTACTCTATTTTAATTTGTGTTATATAGCAGGCAGCAGCCCTTTTTGAATACGCAAAAGAGTAAGGAAGCAAGAAAAAGAAAGCACTCAGGTTACAGGGTACTAACGTCTAGACTCACTTGGGACTTCCCAATGCGAGCTCAATCCGACACTGAAAGACAAGTAAACTTCTGCCGTTTCTGTGCACAGGTGGGGAGGACGTAACCGTAGGGTCCACCATCGACAGCTTACCTGCGCAGGGGCGCATTCTCCTCTATATCTTCAAGGGTCTCCAGGGAGGAGCGCTGGGAGATCAGTCTCCGCCTGCGCAGAGAGACACAGGGTCAGGGCACGAGGACGCTGGGGACCGACTACACTACGGCCCCCCAAGGATCAAGAGCGAGGCTGCATGGAGGACAGCGTGTGAAAAACATGGGACGTGGACAGAGTACACCTCTATCAGACAGTGGATGAACACACTGCTGGCAGTTTTCTCATGTACCACCAAAATGATTTGTGTTTTAAAAAGGCTGACCTGTGGGGACAAATAAACAACAACTAATGGTTGACATTAGAGGCGATGGCTTTGAAAATGGAGTTTTAAATGTATGTACCGTGCAGAGTGGGTGGGACAATTTTAAGATACTACTTTAGGAGTACAGAGCTCTTTGATCAGAAACACAGAGGTCAGGAGAAGCTCCTGCTTCCAATTCACTAAACAAAATAAATAAAAAACAACCAACAAAACTGGTTATTCACTTTCTGAATAGTTTCTGAGGAAACCTCACCTGAAAATCAATAAACACAGAAGGCCTATTCCTTCTCCTTTCTCTTCCATTTATCTAAACTTACCATAGAGGGACCGAAATTCTTTATTCTACAAGCTTCCCTGGGGTACAAGGTGTTTAAACCCCCCTGCGGTGTTTAAAAGCAGGACAGGCAGGTCTCAATTCTGATTCGGCGTGTCGAGGAGAGCTGGCCTGGAGGAAGAAGTTAACTACAGTAACAGCGGACTGAAGAAAAACCCTTTCCTCCTCTTCTACTGTCAAAGAAAATACTTCCCTTTGTATTTGCAGGACAATGTGAAAAAGAGTGTAATTAATTTCCATGGTGAGCCACATCAACAGGAGTAATGTTAGGTTAACGAAGGGCAGAGGTACTTAGACATGCTTGAATACAAAGGAAAAAAGCTTTTAGCTCCTGAAGATCTCTTTTCCGACTGTGTAACAGCAATAACAAATAGCTGTCTGTACTCAAGACAGCAAAACACGACAAAGGCTTTAAATTGTTCAAGCCTGCTATCAGAGCTCCAGGCGCAGTGGGAGTGCTGACCAGAACTGACCACTGGTTCACCGTTTTCACCAGAGAGACACTGTAACCTTTGCTCTTGGAGGAGAACACTGCTGGAGGAATAATGCAAACAAAGAGCAACAGTCGGTTTTATAGCAATGACTTTAAAAGGCAGTAAGTAGCAGAGGTCTGATGAAAAAATTCAGTTTGTTTCACAGAGCGTGGTTCTCTAAGTGGGTATCTTTAAAGCTTTAGACTCGTTCCTGAAACATACATCAATTTAAGTATTATTTAAAATAATACTTAATCCAGCGAGATTCGCATCTATCCTTTTGACATATTCAGCAGTTCATAACGCTTTAATCACACTCATTATATATGAACTCAGCTCAGTCATCTTCTAACTGCCTCCAGTTCAGGGCTGCAGGGCAGCCGGAGTCTATCCCAGAAAGCAATGGGCGCCAGGCTGGATACACCCTGGGCGAGACGCCAGTCCATCGCAGGGCACACAAATACAAATAAGCACACACTGTGGGCCAATTCTCCCAGAAGCCAGCTAACCTACCAGAATGTCTTTGGACTGTGGGAGGAAACTGGAGCACCTGGAGGAAACCCCCACACACACACAGAGGGAGAGCATACAAACTCCCCAAAGGGCCCCAGCGCTGTGAGGCAGCAATACTCACCACGGTGCCACTCGTGTTTGATGTTGTATTACAAGATCATTGTTCACTCTGAGTAAAGCTGCTCGTCTGCTACAGACACAGGACTCCAACAGTAAGTGAGAAAACCAGGTTGCTCAATATAGCTGGATAGAAGAGTATAAAAGTCATCTGATGTAGGTTTGGTTTTCCAAATCAAAACTCTTGAGACAGAGAATGCCTTCCAATTTAAAATCTAATAATAATGATGATGATGATGATGACAACAACGATGATGAAGAACAGCAGCTCAAAAGCAAAAAGAACAACATGATGCTGGCCTGATGCAGACAGAATACAGCAAATAACAACACATTTCAGTCATGAAGCTCTTCATCTCTGATAAATCCTGTATATAAACACACTAGGTGTTGTGGTACAGTGATGTCTTTGTCAGAATAATATTGCTTTGTTACAACTATAAGACAGCTAGTTAGTTCACAGGCCCGTACAGTAATCCAGCTGTGAGGCAGGTGGTGGTGGAGACCTGAGCCTTTCCTTGCAGGAAACCTTGAAATCAATTCAGATCTTCTATGTGACAGAACACTGCCAGTGTGTTAACAGCAATGAAAACACATTCGTTGCTCTAACACAGATCAGACATTCAGTAATGACTACTCTGTACAATTAGTTTTGAAACTTCTGACATGTCAGTCCACCTCAAAATCACAGGCGATACCAATCAGGACGTGCTGTAACTGCTCAGGGTCAGTCAGTCTCGTTAGCTTTTTATTCTGGTCTAAATTAACGACGAGCTTTAACTGAAGAGGATCTGCAGGGGAGGAAGAGGGAATCAGCATTGCTGGAGGTTTAATCTGCGCTGGTGACTTGAGTCCCATCAGAACAGAGCTTTTTACTCTCTGTTGCATTAAAATGTTTCACAAGCCAAGTTTCTCATAGCCTGTGCTGGCCTCTGTGCTAAACCCATGGACTAAACTCATGTTATTGAAACAAAGATATTTGCCACACCAGGTATATAGTACGCAGAATCATTCCACACTAACTTACTGTCAATACCACAACAAGGCAGCCACAAACTGTTCTGTATGGACTCCCACCGAACCAATCAATCACAGGGCCTGTTTATGAAAGCCCTCATTACTCCACTAGACTGCGGTGAAACTTAAAACAACTCGACATTCTTGTGGTTACCATCTTATAAATGTGTCTGCCAGTTTCGTCCCCATTGTGTAACAATTCTATTAATAAGCAACAAAGGTTCAGCACCAAGATTCCAACTAAGTGAAGTAAATGAACTTCTTGCATAAACGTTCTCTCCTCTATAATCTATAATCTAAGTTTGATTCTGTGTGGCCATGGAGGAGGTTTGGCACACACTCTGGATAAAGGTCCCTGTTGTTTCATGACTGGCCTAATTTTTGACCAGATTCTCGCTTTTTTAACCTTGTGCTGCTGGTTTCATAAGAATGTGTTCTAATAAGAGGATAAGGGAATGGTCTCAGCATGCAAAACATTTGCAAATTTCAGTCCCACTTTAAAATAAGTGCCTTTTCATGACAGACTAGCCTTTTGTTGTTTTATTTTGGCAGGAACAAAAAACAAAGCAAATCCTATTAAATCTTACATGGTATTAACCCTCGATATACAGCTCTATTCCTCTTTTCAAGTCTTCAAGGCAAGAACTGAACTTGCCCCTTTGATCAAGAACGCATGCCTCACTTTCCTAACACTGAATGACAATCTCAACTTCTGTCACATTTTTTGGCCTGATTCCTAAAAAAAAGAGCTGCCTTATACATCTCTAACAGATGACCTTCTTACCTTAATATGAAAACAAACAGTGGTTACAGCATCACCAAATAATTGTCTGATCAGGTGAAGTCAATTAAGTCATGTTGAGATAATGTGGTTCATTAATCCACTACAATGAATGCTTCTGGCCTAAAGGATTTGACAGTTCTACCAATTATACTAATATTTCACAGAATTCAGCCCTGCTATATTCTCAGAAACTGGTATTACTCCTGAATCCGAGAAGCAAACATACAGCTGCAGTCAAGACTGTCAGTGGGAAATAAGATTGATAGAATTTAGCTTGATGGTTTTCCATTTTGGGTATCAAACAATAATAATGTACTTTTATAAATGTGTTTGATGCATTTTAAGTACTTTAGCAGTGAGTGCTAAAATGCAACACTTTTACAAAAAGACGAGTGGATGGCAGTGGTCTCTGAGGTACAAAAGACAAGCTTAATAATGAGGACATATCTCAAAAAAGCAGAATGTGTTACAAATCTTTGACTAAAACCATGGACCACACTGAAGTACATCAATGGATATAAGATGTGATGAAGATTGAGCATAAGAGCTGTGCCTTTTATAACAAAACAATGCATTAGGAACAATAAGGACTACCAGGGCAAAATGTGGATTCCAGCACTACACATCTGAAGGATAACATTTATTATTTTTGGATGGTCAAGAGGCAGCGATTTACCACTGGAAAGCAAATGGTGTCGAGTCAAATCCTCCGTGCAGCAGCTGCAGAACAGGAAATTGGTGAGAGTTATGTTGTGGGCATTAAGTCAAAATGAAAAAAGCAGGGAGTATAGAAAAAGTCAGACCCAGACTGTTGGAAAGATGCGCCCAAAACCCAGTCACTACTGACAAGTTTCATCAGGAGGTTAATTATCCACCTTGCTAAGCCTTTGCAGAGCCAGATGTGGATATCAGCTACAGTATGTTTATCAGACTAAACAATTCAGGATCCTGCTGAATATGTGAAATGTAATCCAGTCATACAGCAGTTTGTAAACTGAAATCACAAGGAAAATAAGACATCTCGATGAGGCTCAGTGAGGTACATCACCGGGTGAGTGGAGAAGATATTTAAAGGGCATTTAGGTTAAACTATGAATTTCTGATTTCTTCATCTGAAAAAAGCTGATGATGGAAAATGTCACCAGAACCCGCTATGATTCACATGCACATAAAAAACAAACAAGAGAAAGTCATTTGGCCCACTTTCACGTGGCTTATTTGAAAGCGCTGAGCACAATAATTAGGACTGTACAACAACCTGCCACCAACAAATCATGTCCATAGAAAACTCATATACCAATAATTTATTAAAATAACAAAAAAGCAATTAAACACATCAAGAGTGCTGCCTGTGATGAACACCGAAAACGCGACCAATTCAAGCCTCGGATAACAACTCGAGCAAAATCCACTTTTCCACAAGAAATTCAGTGTTGTGAAATTTGCCAAAACAAAGTCAAACACAGTTGTCTGCAATGTTTATTTCTGTTTCGGACAGATTGAAGTCTGAGATACATGTGACTGCTGATCTTTTTGATTTTCTTTTTAAAC